GAAAGATTTGTCAGAAATGGTGTAGGGTCTCCCGCTTGGGCGGGGGGGGGGGGGGGGGTTGGACTAGATGACCTACAAGGTCCCTTCCAACTCTGATTATCTGTTATCAGATCAACCCTGGATTAAGCATTAACCCAAATAAGCATCTGCTTAGGGAATCAAGGGAAAGGAGGGGCAGTATTGTGCTCAGCTTTTTCCTCTAGCTATCATGCTCTTAACTCTTTCATTGCATTTTCTCCTATAATAACAATCTTACTAGTCTATAACTAGTCTTATTAGCAATGCTTTACAAGTATTGAAAATTTGCAGTTTTTATTCTACTTATTAAATAATGTGCTCTCATTGTTATCTGATGTAAAATATTTTTTAAAAAAGTTTATATTCAATATACTGTAGTTCTGGGGTTCAACTGAGGGATGGCCTGGAAGAAAACTAAGTTTTTAATTTCTTTATTTCACCTTTGGCACTTGCTGAGACTTAAATGTTTTGTCATTTAACACTGGAAGGGCCAGGGACTCTTATTGGACTGTGCTTAGGGCATTAATTGACCTGCTCCAATGGGTAAAATTCCATTCCAGCACGTGCCCAGCTAGTCTGGCCACTGGAGTAGAAATGTGATACAATTTCCCAAAGCAGTGGAAAATTTGGACCTTCAAAGTTTTGCATACATTACAGGTACAATAGTTCTTGACTTGCGACCACAATAGAGCCCAAATTTTCCTTGCTAAGCAAGACAGTTGTTAAGTGAATTTTGCCTCATTTTATGACCTTTTTTGCCACAGTTCTTAAGTGAATCACTGCAGTTAACTTAGAAACATACAGGTAGTCATTGGCTTACAACAGTTCACTTAATGACCATTCGAAGTTACAACAGCATTGAAAAAGTGACTGACCATTTTTCACACTTATGACCATTGCGGCATCCCATGGTCACATGATTTACATTCGGATGCTTACATTTATGATGGTTGCAGTGTCTCTGAGTCATGTGATCACCTTTTGCAGTTTTCTGATAAGCAGTCAATGGGGAAACCAGATTCACTGAACAACTGTTACTAATTTAACAACTGCAGTGATTCACTTAACAGCTGTGGCAAACAAGGTCATAAAATGGGGCAAAATTCACTTAAGTTTCTCACTTAGCAACAGAAATGTCGAGTTCAATTGTGATTGTAAGTCTAAAACTACCTGTATTGTATTTCATGAACAGCACATCTGTAATCCTCCTGGGTTTTTTTTAACAGTTTATTTATACATTTTCTCTTTACATAAGTGCTTTGTGAACAGCTATTGTCTGGATCAATTTGTTTACATAATAGTACTTTTCTAGTTCCTAGTTTCTACCTCTATTATCCACCTCCTGCTGTTTTTTAATCTACATGGATCATTACCAATTTTGATGACCATGGCCTAAATTTGCCTGCCACGAGTATCCTGTCTAAATTAAATTTTCACAGTCAGAGCCATGTCCCAGTTCATGTCAACTGCTGGGAAATAAATGTGAGGAGCTAAGATCTTTCAGGGTGATTATACGCCTCATGAAAAGTATCCAGCCAGTCATTGGAATTAATGTTAGGTGGGACAAAATGGATCTTTTGTTTGATCAAGCAGGACTGTTCTGTTCTAAACATTATTATAACTGCAGTTTTAGTTTCCATTATATCAATCTTAAACTATGCTGATTAGGGATGATGGGTGTCCAACACCTGAAGTATATTTTCACCAGATTGGGACAGCCTGCTTCAGTCAGATATAAATCATTTGTAAGCTGCTGTTCTGACTCGTAGGATGTAATATTTCTGTCTCATAGTGATTTGAGCTGCTCTCTCTTATTTAGCATCCTATTCATTTGTTTTAATTAATTCTCATGAAATCTAAGTGCTAGTATTCTTATGACATAAATATTGCTTGCAGGTTAGAGTTCTAAGGCAGTGATGTTGTTACCTAATTGGGTAATTATTTGCAAACAGCCAAGCTCAAAGAGCACCAAGGATTTCACAGTGCTGAGAGTTGCTATGTCAGAAGAGGAATAAAAAGATGGCACTTCTTGCTACTTAATAGTTGGTTACCTGAATGAGAATGAATGGCAAAAGAAGTTAAAAAGAAAAACTTGAGGTTTTTTAATCCATTATTGTAGAGTTGTAATTGCAAGAATGTTCCAAAATTGGATGGCAAACCTCAGATAAAGAATGTTTCCAAGCAAATACAACTCAGGTAAACAAAGTCACTAATCTAAAGGAGGATTAGAGAGAGGAAGTAAACATATGTTAGACTTTAACTAGAGATAATTAATTGTATGGATTACTGTGCTAAACAGTAACGAAAGTTAAGCAGTAACAAAAGTTAACCAATGATGGAGGATAATTAAAAATGTGTATAAATGCAAGACTAGACTCCAAATAAAGTTCATCATGATTCAGTTGTTCATGATCAAACAACTCGACTGCTTCATCATTACAACACATTATAAATTTCTAAACTACAGAATCTAATCTACAATTTTTATAGTGTCAATAAATCTTGTCACTTTCTGTTCTCTTTTTCTGTTTCTTGTTTCAACAAACAACAGCTCCCTCTCTCTGCATGCAATGAAATGGGCTGAAATGTATGAAATCTTACATTATAATAAATTGACCAGTTTTTAAGGTGTCTCAGGACTTTTTCAACCTAAGAAGATAGGCAAATTTACTGCTTACAAGTAAAAAGGAAAAACTCAACACTATTCCTTTCCCCATTCATCTTCTATGGCAGTTTTAAGATTTTCCATCAATTTTTCAATTTGCAGCCATTCTATTAGATATGAGCTGAAAGAAATGGAGCAATTAAACAATGCTAAAACTAGGATTCCCCCCCCCCCCCAATGGTTTATTGAGCAAGCCATAGTGGCTTTGTTTACACAAAAAAACTAAACCTTCAGTCCCTATTCTTTTCCTTTATAGAGACGTTTATATCATTGAATGCCTTGTGTGAATAAGAAAATTTGGGGAGGGTGTTATTACATTCTTGGATTCCCACCCTCAAAAGTAATAATGCATTTGTGTAGTTTATAGAACATGCTTGTGATCTCAGTCTAGAGCACTACTGTGCCCATGGATATTTTTCTTGGTGGATATCAGGATCTCCACCTTCCTTGATTTTTGGTATTAAAAAAATGTCAGGTATGAAAGAGCAGGTCCACATCCACACAGAATTCAGGGGTGTGGGGGCTTGATGTAATCCACTTGGGGTCATGTAGGGATTCTATGCTAATCCCTCTTTTAACTCCACCCCAGGGCTCTGCCACTTCTACTACACATAGTAAATTAAGAAACTGGAGCTAGAATCCAATATTGTCTGATTTTGAAAAATACTGAAGTAATCAAATGGTTTAATTCAAAATGTACTCCCCTCCCCTCTCCAAAACAAAAACACATAAAAGATGGGGAAATATGGATGACATGTTAGCAGAATCTAGAGATGATGCTATTACTATATTCTCCATTCTGCTGAACCAGGTGTCATGGTTCCGAGTAATGCTCCCAACCAATTCAAGATTGAGGCCTTGGCTTCCTCAAAAATCCAGTTTATTGAGTACATCATATCTGCATGAGCCGCATGGTCAAAGATGAAAGCAACACTGAATAGTTCTCAAGTTTTTGATGTAGTTAAAGAATAGATACTGGCCACCCCCTCATGTCACAGGTCACATTGGCCAACCAAGCAGATGATGAACTTCTCAGCATTCCTGCCGTTGCTAGGGTACTGATTTGGCCTTGGTTCTCAGGAGCCTTATCCTTGCTATGTCTAGCACATTGGAGGAAAACATTCTACATTCCATAAATCCCCCCTCCCCCGAAGTATGGCAACTAAGAAATGAAGCAAGAAAAATATGTCTTCAGCTAGAGTCATTATGAGTTGATACCAGGTATGTAACGGTGACAACTTGGCGAATGGGTAACCTTTATCTTGTGAGATGCTCATATTTTCAAAATCCGATATTGTCACCTGTGCAAAAAACGGGGCTCTAATCTGAAATACGTTTCACTCACTCTTATTGAAGCATCATGGAGGGGGGAAAGTATCCGGTTAACTATTGTCTAGAACAGTGGTTCCCAACCTTTTTTTCGCCCCGCACCCCTAAAGAAATTTCACTGGAACCTCGCACCCCCTGAAATAAATAATAAATAAAAATGCCAACATATAGCCAAAAACCTATTATTTGCCTGGACTTTTCTCGCACACCCTGGAATATCGTCTCGCACCCCCAGGGGGTGCGAGCACCCCAGGTTGGGAACCCCTGGTCTAGAAGTTGCAACTTAGCTAAGTCATAAACTAGTTGAGAAACTAAATCATTTGGGTTGTTGCAAGATGGTTGCTGGATGGATGGATGGAGTTGGGCACAGAGGCAGAACCAAATGACTGGGCTAAACGAGCCTGACTCTAAAAACTAAGGCAGAAAAGAGTTCCGCTGAATCCAATGCCACTTCTAAAAGCGTGTTTCTTAAAACGTCCGAGAATCCCTTAGGGTTCTCCAACACTCACAGGCCCTTGAAATCAACATTATGTGCCAACATACGTCGAAAAACAATGTAACATTAAATTCCGATTAAACAATTGTGAGAAGCAGGGACCCCAAACGCATCGATTTTAAATTTTATTATAGTAAATATCAATATAGCACTGGCAAACCTTCCACATAACGCATGCAAACAAAAATGTGGGTTTTTTTTTGTAGTGTTCCATAATTTTCCAAAAGGGGAAGAGGAAAAAAAAATTAAGAACCCTGTTCCAGGCAGACCCATCTCGCGCTTGGTTGCCCCCACAACAGCAGCGAAAAACCACCTCGAACTTCCCCGCGAATTAAGACACTTGGCTGAAGCATTCTCAAAGGAGGATTGGAAGGCGGAGCAGCGAAGGGCGGGGCTTGTGTGCCATTCGCTGAAATGATTGGAAGACATTTGTGAAAAGGGACGGCTTTTGCTAGACTGGGGGAGTGAAGTCGGGAGGGAGGGGAAGATCGGCGCGACAACTTGTAGGCGCGTGTCCGGGGTTTCGGGAAGTCGGTCGCTCTAGCTGTCCATTGTCCATGATTTCCGGTCTCTGAGGGTCCAACTTCCGAGCAGGCGAGGGCGTGCGGTCACGTCGGCGCCAAGTCGGGGAATGCGGCGGGGAGTGACGTGGTGGCCAGGGCTGTGGTTGCGCCCTCCAGGGGTCATTTGCTCGACGGAAGGAAGCCTCCCGGGCGATAGGTGAGGCCGACCGTGTGGAGGGGCGAAGGGAGAGCGGGGGTCCGTCTATTTGCGGCGATTGTGTGTGTGTGGGGGGGAATAACTCCCGGCGGTGCTCCCGCCACATGTGCAGGATTACAGATGATGTTCTTGATCTCCAGCCAATCTGGTAGGGAGTAGGCTGTCATGTCTCCCTCGGGTTGGGAGGATTCCTCTTGGTCACGATTTTGTTTTTCTCCGAACGCGTAATGTTGTTCCTTTGATCCAAACGGTGGCATTGAAAATAAGCATTTAGCTGTAATTTGGATGCCTGTCCTCTGTGTCGGTAATACACACACACACACACACACACACACACACACATACACATACACACACACACACACATGCAAGCAGCTGTTCGAGAAGCAAGAGAGACTCCCGTCCTTGGGCAAAATGACCGCTGCTCCCTATATGTATTGTGTGTACAAGGAAGGAGTTCATTCCCTCTGTAAAATGTAAAAAGGCTGTGCTCCGTTGTTTTCTTTAGCAATAACACTGTAGGTGGAGAGAAAAAAGCCTGTTAGTCTGTGATAACCAGGAATCAGGAGTCTGATAAAGTGCCCTTTCAGACTAATGCATTGTAAGATAAGCTTTAATGTCATTTTTTTTTACTGTAAGTACACCGGCCCACATTAAAAAAGAAATTATGTTGTCCGCTCTCAAAAGAAAGTATATATCTACCCATGCACATATATAACACACGCTAATGCATTTTGTTTAGTCTGAAGAGATGCTAAGGCATTACAAGAGACTGGCTTCTGGATTACCATAGTAGACTAACACCACTCTCCTGTGACTCTTGTGTCAACCAATTTTGGATGAAGTGGAAATCCATAAAATTTAGGAAGTTAACATACAAATGGACATCCTTTTTCTAACCAAGTGCCAACAATGTGACATTTTGAGAAGACTGAAAGAATTGTACAGCCTGTATATTGCAGAGACTGCAGCCAAAAGTTATGCTGTATCTTTTCCAAGAAAATTCCTAAACTATCTTATCAGCTTTGTTTAGAACAAGCAAAAGTTAACCCCCACTATCTTAAAATTGTTAGTCTGAAAAGCTGCTCCCAGAATTTTGATTGGTTTGTTATGACTGTTTTCTGGTATGTTCCCCCCCCCACACACACACTTTTTAATCAAGCCTATAGCCCTGGGATGTCCTTGTGGTCTCCCATCCAAATAATAGACAGGTGTGATGCTGGTAAGTTTATTTGCTAGGTGCTGCTAGCTTGTTTCAGAACTAGACTTAGTGGAAAAAATGACTATCCCAACTCTTTTCCCGCCAATTTGTTTTGTCTGTCACAGAAGGCTACTAAGGTACAGTACTTTTTAAATGAGAACTTCCTGTGTTATTTCACAAAATGATGGTATTAAAGCAAACTGCACCTAGAAAGTTAATTGACACTTGGAGGTAAGACACAACATATTCCAAAAAGCTTTCTCAAGTTAGAAGTTAACTGAAATGTTTGCTTACTGGCCACATGGCTGGGAATGTCAGATGTTGTATTCAAACACTGAAGGCTACAATTTTTTTTCAGAAAGTCCTACTTGGCTTTTAAAAAGTGTTCTGCTTTTATTTTTGGGAGGTGGGCTGATTCTGATAGATCAGCTAAAATGCAAAAGTACAGTGATTTTAGCAGAGGTGCAGGTTGTTATGTAGCAACTTGTGATTGGCACAGCTGTGTGACAGAAAAGGGCAGTTGTGTATATTGAGGCAGAAGAAATATTTTTCCTTAGTGTACCTTGGAGCCATTTGGTTGATGCATGTAGGAACACTCAGCCATCCTGGAGACAGTCCAGATTTCTTTTTGTTTATTAATTTCTCATGGGCTTGCTAATGGTTGTCTTGCAATGTAGCAAGTTCTGTTTCAGCTCATTCCTAACTGGAAGTAGTCACAATCTCCTGACTGTGTTTACCAGACATATGCATTAATACTCTTTCCCTCCCCCTATCTTGTTTATCATATTGTATTATCTTTGTTATTTAGTTCTTTGTATGGTTTGTTGCAGCATAAAAATGAAAAAAAAAAATTGAGGTTATTGCAATGACCTCAGTGGCAGCATCAAACTGAATTTAAAAATGGTCTGGTGCTATCAAATGTTTCACCTTTCTTGCAGCATAAAAAAAGTGTGATAACTGCATTACAATGATTACATAGCCTCAAGGATTGTTTACATACAAACTGTCAAATTGTGAACATAATTAGTTCAAGTCTTCAAATAGAAGAATTAAATTGTTTATTTGCATGCTTTATTATTAGGAGTTTCCTGTAATATATGTGAGTATATGCATAATTTTTTATTTATTATGTCATGGTTATATATGTAAATTGGAGGCGGTGATTCTTTGAGACCTATATGCAACGAAACTTCATATTAATGTATGCTGATTAATGTACATTCAAGGTAACAATAAAGTTTTTCTAAGTCTTTAAAATTTGAAATTTAAAAACAAGAATGGAATCAGAAATACAGTATGCTTTAAAATGTGGTCAAAGTAGTAATTCTGCAACCAAGGACGCTTGCATTTTAAGTGATGTGCTTGAGTCCAAATTCCAAAATTATGAATAAAAACAAGAACTTTGAAATGTAAGTGTTTATGAAACCAATGTCAATCATAGAATATAAATAGTCTCCAGTGAAACACCATAGTTTTTAGGAGGAACAAATGGAATAGAATTGAATTGAATTGAATGTAACTTTATTACAGTCTTAGACCAGCAATAGACTTCACTATTTACAATATGTAAAAGAAATAGTACTGACACATTATAGTACATTAATAGTGGATAATATCCCTGTTAAGAAAATACATGTTCTCAAACAGTTAGGGTTACTCCCTGGTTTATATGAGTGGAAAGCCAATAAGTATATATGTAAATATCATTTTTCCAAAGATTGTTATACCTCCAAAAATTGGAACAAATTGACAGCTATAATTCTGTAACCAATTTTTTTCTTGTAGACATTGCAGCAACACAGTATTTTGCCACTGTACACATAATAGCTGGGTTTGAGTCCTGGAGGAGAAAGCCTACATAAAAATTGTCTGCCCTCCCTGGCAATCTCTCTAGTAAGGGGAGAATACAGTTGTGCTCATAAGTTTACATACCCTGGCAGATTTTATGATTACTTTGCCATTTTTCAGAGAATATAAATGATAACACAAATACTTTTCTTTCACTCATGGTTAGTGGTTGGCTGAAGCCATTTATTATCAATCAACTGTGTTTACTCTTTTTAAATCATAATGACAACAGAAATTACCCAAATGACCCTGATCAAAGTTTACATACCCCAGACCTTAATAGGGTGTATTGCCCCCTTTAACATCAATGACTGTAGAGTTGTAATTGCAGGAATGTTCCAATCTCGGATGGCAAACCTCAGATAAAGAATGTTTCCAAGCAAATACAACTCAGGTAAACAAAGTCACTAATCTAAAGGAGGATTAGAGAGAGGAAGTAAACATATGTTAGACTTTAACTAGAGATAATTAATTGTATGGATTACTGTGCTAAACAGCAACGAAAGTTAAGCAGTAACCAAAGTTAACCAGTGATGGAGGATAACTAAAAATGTGTATAAATGCAAGACTAGACTCCAATAAAGATCATCATAATTCAGTTGTTCATGATCAAACAACTCGACTGCCTCGTCATTACAACAAATGACAGCTTGAAGTCTTTTGTGGTGTGTGTGGATGAGGCTCTTTATCTTCTCAGATGGCAAAGCTGCCCATTCTTCCTGGCAGAAAGCCTCCAGTTCCTGTAAATTCTTGGGCTGTCTTGCATGAACTGCAGGTTTGAGATCTCCCCAGAGTGGCTCAATGATATTGAGGTCAGGAGACTGAGATGGCCATTTCAGAACCTTCATTTATTCTGCTGTAGCCAATGGACAGGTCGGCTTGGCCTTGTGTTTAGGATCATTGTCATGTTGGAATGTCCAAGCACGTCCCATGCGCAGCTTCCAGGCTGATGAATGCAAGTTTTCCTCCAGTATCTGTTGATAACATACAGCATTCATCTTGCCATCAGTTCTGACCAAATTTCCTGTGCCTTTGTAGCTCACTCATCCCCAAAACATCAGCAATCCACCTCCATGTTCCACAGTAGGAATGGTGTACTTTTCATCATAGGCCTTGTTGACTCCTCTCCAACTGTAGCGTTTTTGGTTGTGGCCAAAAAACTCAATTTTGGTCTCATCACTCCAAATGACTTTGTGCCAGAAGGTTTGAGGCTTGTCTCTGTACTGTTTGGTGTATTGTAAGCGGGATACGTTGTGGCATTTGTGTAGTAATGGCTTTCTTCTGGCTACTTGACCATGCAGCCCATCTTTCTTCAAGTCCCTCCTTATTGTGCATCTTGAAATAGCTGCACCACGTGTTTTCAGAGAGTCCTGTATTTCACCTGAAGTTATTTGTGGGTTTTTCTTTGCATCCTGAACAATTCTCCTGGCAGAGAAATTTTAGAAATTTTAATTTTGTGGCTGAAATTTTAGTTGATCTACCTGACCATGGTTTGGTTTCAACAGAACCCCTCATTTTCCAGTTCCTGATTAGTGTTTGAACACTGCTGATTGGCATTCTCAATTCCTTGGATATCTTTTTATACCCCTTTCCTGTTTTATACAGTTCAACTACCTTTTCCCGCAGATCCTTTGACAATTCTTTTGCTTTCCCCATGACTCAGAAGCCAGAAACATCAGTGCAGCACTGGATGAAAGATGCAAAGGTCTGTCAGGAGTCCAGGAACTCATTGACCTTTTATACACACACACTAATTACAAGCAAGCAGATCACAGGTGAGGATGGTTACCTTTAATAGCCATTCAAACCTCTTTGTGCCAACTTGTGTGCATGTTATCAGGCCAAAATCACCAGGGTATGTAAACTTTTGATCGGGGTCATTTGGGTAGTTTCTGTTGTCATTATGATTTAAAAAGAGTAAACACAGTTGATTGATAATAAATGACTTCAGCCATACACTAACCATGAGTGAAAGAAAAGTTTTTGTGTTATCATTCATATTCTCTGAAAAATGGCAAAGTAATCATAAAGTCTGCCAAGGTATGTAAACTTATGAGCACAATTGTATACACTGACCTATAAACTCTGTATAACTCACAGTACGATAAAACATGTGAGATATCTTTGACTTCTTCGACAAATAATCTAAATCAACCTTTTCCAGATCTGTTGATCATGCTGGCTAAAAATTCTAGAAATTTTAATCCAATTCGTTTATTGTAACATTTTGTTTTAAAAAGCTTAAATACCAGTTGATTCCTGGTGATTATATGAATACAAACATGGTATTTTGATACAGAAGAGTTATGGTTTGTCAGCACCTTTTTGGGGATGTTTTGCAACCTTGTTGCCTAGTTTACAAATTTGATATTTCATAATGATGTCCTGTCCTATTAGCCTTCAAAACAGAGTTTTTCCATATTTACAAACGTAAAAAAATACACCTATTAGCTTGTAGTAATTAAAATGGAATATATTAACAATGAAAACATAGACAGTAAGCATGCATTTAAAATATTGTATGTGGTATAAACATATTAATATATTACAAGGCTTGAGGAAGTAAAATAACTTTGCTTCATGTTAGAAAGATTCTAAAGTTAGAACCAGGTTTGCTTCACTATGATGGGGAAGATATTCTTACCACTGAGAAGATCCACTGCCAGGCAACCAGTTGTCAGATTTTAGCCTAAGAAGGCAAGTACAGTAGGGCCTTCAAAAATGAACTCTTTAAGTTGCTGATAGGAATGTATGTGAAAAGGTTCAGACTGTGGTCCCAGACTTGGGAAGACTTTTATAGGTTAGTTTGAGGACCTTGAATTGAGACTGGAAATGAGTTGGTAGCCTGTAAAGGTATATAATACAAAGGGTATAATACAAACAGTTATGCTTCTATGGCTGTATTTTATAATAATTGGTGTTTCAGAATGGTCTCTAAGGATAATCCCAATTCAGTAATCTAACCAAGTCTCTGTTGAGTTTAGTTCATCTCCTGGTGTCCTTATAGACCTTTCTTAGCAACAGTTTGGAAGTAGTTTTCCAGTGTTATCTACTGGGATTTATTTATTTTCTCAATCTACATCTGAGGTTTCTTGTCAGTCTCCTATGGAATCTGTCTGTCTGCCTGCTTATCTATCTACCTAGGCAGCTCTGAGATTAGTAATAACCAAATCTGATCCTACATAGCATTTTCACTAGTTCAGTTAGGTAGGTTATTAAAGTGAGGCCATCAACATCTAGTTATTTTCATTTGTATATTTGGGTGTTAAGAGCTCTAGAAGGACCTTCAAGGTTCAGACTTCATCCATTGTAGGAATGATCCATTGTAGGAATGATCCATTGTAGGAATGATCCATTGTAGGAATGATCCCTTGTAGGAAAGACTGCTGGAAACGTGGCAGAGATAATTGTATTCCTGGTAGCCTAGAAAAAAAAATAGTTAAAATAAATAATTCAACCAAATTACCAAAATGTTCTTATTTTAATAATATTTCAGATTTTATTCTCAAGATGTTTTGCATCAGTTTGTTCTCTTTATTTCTTGATTTCAATGCAAGTAATCCATTTTGCATGAAGCGTAGAATATCATGTCTCTTAATAGTTCTGTAATATCTGTCAATACCAGTTGATTATCTGAATGGATTAATTTGGAAGATACTATGTTTTAGTTATACATGTAGTGTACAGATAAATTTGAGCCACCTCCTAAACCTCAGGTTGTTCTTGATTAATTTTTCCTCACCATCAAAGGTTAATGAATGTAACAATCTGATGATATTTTTAATGCTATTAACATATATCTTGATGGGAATTCTGCAATAGGTTTTTTTTTTTTAATAAATTGTATTTTTAAAAAGTTCTTCTTTTGTGTGTGCTTCTTCAGGCATCTTGGAGCATGTAAAGTAACCAAGGAAACTGAACTCCAGTATGTGGTATATTATGCAGAGCATCCAGAGTAAATATTCTTTGTCAGAGCGCTTGATCCGGACTATCGCAGCCATCCGATCCTTCCCACATGACAATGTTGAAGACCTAATAAGAAGGGTAGGTGAAAAAAGCTAAGACAAGTGTTTGGTTGCTTTTTTAAAAGTTTTTTGGGAATGTTATATAAGATCTAGAAGACCAAATCTGACTTTGCTTGTGTAGGTTGCAGTTTTAAGTAATGATTTCTTTGGAGTTACTTTAAAAACCCTGTTTCTTCCTCCTAAATTAAATTTATCAGGTTTGATAGAGAATATAGACCCGTCCTTTTCAAGTGCTCTTAGTACAGGTAGTACTTCACTTACAGTCATTTCTTTAATGAATGTTCAAAGTTACAACAACACTGAAAAAAGTGATGACTGTCACTCATCTGGGATTCTTTCTCTTGAGCATATCATATATCAGAAGGAAACGATGGTAACAAGATTTTGTATTACAGAGATTGCCTATAAATAGTATTTTCCATATAGTATTAGATGAATTCTAGGATCAAATAATTTCTGTTGAGACTCAGATCATAATAGGATAACTCTTTTGGCATTGTTTAATTAATACCCCTGAACTGGTTTCCCCATCTTAAAATTGTCAGGATTCTAGCAATTATCACCCTAATTAAATCATGATTCTCGAGCCAAACTTCAAAAAACTTCAAAGGATTTATTAGAGGCAACATACTGCCATTGCCCTGTATGAAGCCAACTCTGACATACATAATTTACAGTCACCTGTGACCCTGTTTCCCCCCTCCCCCCGGGTGTTTCATAAATCAGATTCTCCAATTAAGCATTTTCATGGGCTGGGTGTCATCAATCACATTCTCCAATTAAATATATTCTTGGGCAAAAGCTCTGGTAGTATAGTTACAATCTTAAAGATAAGTGTTGAAATGTACTTTCAATTTCAAATTGCTGCACTGCTCTTCCAGATTTCCTCCCCCCCCCTTTTTTTTAATGGCAACTATTAAAACAGGCATAGGAATGTTTTATGAGTTGACAAAAATCTTAGGAACCTAGAGAAACTTAAGGATTAAAAGAAGCTTTTTAAACTTGTGTGGTATTCATAACAATTAGCTATTATTATACTGTACTCCTCCATATTGGCATTCCCTAATAGTGTTAGATTTCTGGAAGATGCTAAGGTTTTTTTTAAAAAAAATAACAGAAAAAGAAAAACACAAAAGGAACAAAACACAAAAATACATGCATTATAAAAAATATAACAAATGCTTAAAAAGTGAAAAGAATTCAACAAAAAAATACATAATATGTCATTGCAACAGTAAAAGTTACAATTCTATGTATAATTATCTAATAAAGCATACTAGTAAATACACACACACATATACACATACTTATAGTAAATACATATGTGTGTGTGTGTAAATAAAACTCCTGTCTCACCCTTATCGGTGGTCTGCGCCTTTCTATACATATTTCTATAGTTACAGAAGTGTATTTTATTTCTAATACACTTATATAACTATAAATGTTTTTAACCTGTATTTTGTATAAACCAGTCCCGTATTTCATTATCCATACAAAGTACTGTATGTCTGCAGGGAATCCATAAGTAGCAAGTGTAATCAGGACTTTGTTCCTTCAGTAAATGGGGCCATAAATTTATCATTCCATTATTATAGTATCAGTCTGGGCACAGAGAATCCATTTATATTGTCCAGTTGTCAAATTGCAGATACTAAATATATAATCCAAGAGAATATTATCCTCTGAAGACGTGAGCTTCTATCATCAGGATTGCTTATTGCCAAGTATTAAATACTGGAAGCCAACAATTAGTGTTAAGTTTCCAAGTTGGGCAACTTGGAATATACATATATTGCAGCTTTGGTTTGATGGATAGTATTAAGATCTAAATACACTAGACCTCTAGTATCTCTGGAAACAATTATAGTTAGAAAGCTATGGAATGTCCATAAGCAAAAAGATTTATTTTTTTTGAAAATTTTATTTGGGTTTTCACAAAAAAAACATAACACAAATAAAACATCTTTTTTTGAAAATAGCATGGTCCCGGGTTATCACTTCTTCATACAGACACAAACTCAATTTCATGCTCATTTTTGTGTTCTATTCTATCTTATTACTGTTTTACATTTTCTACATAGTTTTTCCCCTCTTTTAATTTTCTCAACTTTATTTGGATTATCTCATCTCAATTCAAATCATTAAATTTTTACTTTTGTCTGTCCTGTTTCAATTTCATATTATCTTTTCTCATTAAACAAATTTTCCCCTGTAGTTTCTAATAGGAGTATGACACCTTTATATCTTTTAATTTTATCCATTCAACTCTTATTTAAGCTTCAATGTATACCTTTAAGATTATAATACATAACTTCCAATCGAATTCTGCTTGGTACACTCTTAAAATACACACTATATTCTTAAAAAAGGATTGTATGTATGTATGTATGTATGTATGTAAATAAAGCACTCATTCCAATTCAATTCTATCATTAATATTCATTAAAATCTTTAACATTTCTTTTCAATTAAATATCATGCTTCCTTGGGAACACTTATAAACTTTCCATAATTCTTTTTTTCCCCATATTTATCTTCACTTATATTTTATAAATAATTAATAATAATTAAAATGTTCCCATCCTTCCCTAATTTAATTCTCTCATTCACTTTATTTCATTTATTTGTTAACAAACATTCCACTAGATTACAATAAATATTTTATCCATCATTTTAATCATATTTTCTAAAATTATTTCTAACAATACTATCTTATGTACCTTTGCAGTATCCCTTTTACAATTAAGTTTTCACCCATTATCTCTAAACAGGCTTATACTTTAAATTCTTATACCTTTTCCCTGTTTCTCTATATCTTGTTTCTGTCCTTTATAACTTCTTTTCCTTTCCTTCTTCCCCCTCTTCTCCCTCCCCTTTTTACCCCCTTGTCTTTCTACTTCTAATTCTCTCTTCTGTAATCCCCTTTTCTGTTGCTTTCTAATATTATATTTATTTTTCAAACTATTCTTTTTTTGGTTGTTTTTTCAAATCTTAAACTTTTCATTCTCTTTCCCCCCTTTCCTTTTCCCCCCCCACATAAAATTACTTGATCATTAAAGATGGCTTCTTCTTTGTCCCAATCTTCTTCTTCTGCAAGCGTTTCTTGTTGTTTCTCATAGTTCCAGATCTCCATTTCTAAGAGTTGAAATACGAAGCCAAAAGAACATCTCCCTTCTTGTGCATCTTCTTTGTACTTTTTAAGTTCCATTTTCAGTTCTTCTAAAAGTGGTGCCATTTTAAACACTTTTAAACAACCACCCGATTGATTTTAGTCATTTAAATGCAATAACCAAAAATCCAAAGATCACCAATTAATCCAAATAATCCAAAGCTATTTCTTCTTGCTTCTTTTTTCTACTTTCTCTTCCTGGAGTTCTATTATTTTGTTGCCAAATTTCAGTTAAAATGTATCTTTTAGGAATCTTGTTGAGGTTTCACAGTAAATTCCTTTTAGTTCCAGGCAGTCTCCTCCATTTTTCCAGATCCTGCCCTTTTATTCTTTTTCTCTCCTTTCCTGCTTTTAAAAGCTTTTAAGTATCCAGAAATCTTTATTATCCCTTTGACATTTTATTTTCAGCTTAAATGCCTATTGATGTCAAAGTGAATTTTTTTTCAATTTCTTGCTTAAGTCTCTTAGCTGTCAGTATAGGGAAGGGAAGAAAAAAACCCCAAATCCTTTCCCTTCCCTCTCTCCTTCGCTGCTTCAAAATCTTCTTTGGGAACAATGTTATTTTTTTTATAGTTTAAATTCCAGGGTACCTTGCGTTGTTGCTTTTGCAGTTTAACCCGGTCAACCAAAACTTTCTCTTCTTATCTTCCTCCTGCACATTCTTTTCTGGTCGAGTTCTTCTTTGAGGTGGCCATTTCTGACCACTGCTGCAACTGCCTTCGAGAAAGGGAGTAATGGCCAGCTGAGAAGGAGAGATGCGGCTCTCCTCAACCCTGCTGGCAGTCTCCCCCCTCTTCACCACCTCTTCGGGGTGGCTTAGCCCCGAAACCAGCCAGCTCAGGGCGCTCTGGCGGCGAGCACGGATCGAAACCGCACACAATCGCAGTTTCGGTCTGTCGGCGAAGGAACTCAAACCAGAAGTCCCTCAAGATTTGATCCTTTTTCCCACTGACTTTGTGGGGAAGCCCAACATTAAAAATTGAGAAAAAGATGATGATATGGAAAAATTGGATGAAAATAGAGATACTGACTTTAAACCAATTGATATCATGATAAGGATGAATTTTAAAAATTCTGTGCTAAGAAATAAATATCAAATATAATTCATTGGCAATATTTATAACTACTGTACAACATTTGTTAACATTGTTTGGACCAGCAGCATTTTCAGTTTCTGAGACATCCAAGATATTAGAACAACTAGTTAAACCTTTTAACACTAAAAAATTACTATTAGTTTCTATAGATATTGGTTATTCAATACATCAATTTAATATACAGCTATTAAGAGATGAATGGAATAAAGGCTTATATATTCCATATTACCTTTGATAATTAGAGAGTGTCTTTTATAGCAAGGGTTAGCCGATGTTAAACCACAATTTATACACCAAAGGGTAATATTTAGAATTCATTAGAAGGCACTAAGCTGAGATAACAGCATTTTTTAACAGCAATTGATTTTTAACAGCAATTGATTTCAGGATAGCGTGGGAAGAAAACTTTAAATAGCCTTCTTAAGCCTGGTTGCATCAGATAGCCATGCTGATGGGATTGTGGTCTCGGTACTGGAAGACATTGTGGTGGAAGTTCAAAGTTAGGAGAATGATGGTCTTGCCCCTCTTGTGAGAGAAAGATGTAACCTTGGGTTGTGAAGAAATCTAGGGAAGAAGTGTGAATAAACTGAAAACTATCATATTTAATAGCTAGTATCTAATAGTGTGTTTTAAATTTGGTAGGTCTTTAAGGAGTTGCTGGATTTCTAGCATCATCATGTGTGTCACAGTTCAGGAAATGGTGGGAAAACAATCTAAAAATAATGCCACTTTAATATAAATACTTTTCTGAATCGATTTGCATAATGCCTAATATTGTAAAGTTTGGATTTTAACTTTCTCCTGGGGGGGAAAAATCCTGAAGATTTTGTCATGGAATTAGCAGCTCCAGAATTGGCATGGAAACTGCATCCCTCTGTATCATGGTCCGAACTCTGTTCTTATTTCCTACTGTTGTCACTGCAGTATAATACCATTCAGCAGTAGGAAACAGTCATCATGTCTCTTCCTTCCTCCACCTCTGTGTAGGAGAAAACGGATTACAGGAGATGTTGTCTTAGAAAAGGCAGCAGCTATGTAACAGAGACATTATATGATCTTTCTCAAGCGGATAGAAATGTGCTTATCTGAGTATGTAAGGATTTTTGAAAAGAAGATTCTTAGACATTTATACTAATGCTATGACCTGTGCAACTATATTTTAGGGTTTTTTTAAAAAAAAAATCTATATGTATCAATAGAAGTTCCAAGAATTGTTCTAATTGCAGAGATCAAATTGGCTGTTTTTGTTTCTGCTAGTCCTCGTCTTTTACTTTTTTGTCACAAATTCAGCTGTAATAGTATTTCTAAGCTACCTTTCCATCTACTAAAGCTCCCCCAAAAAACCTACAATTCAGCAATTGAATTCATTTTTCACTTTAAAATATGTCAGAAGCCTTTGCAAAACCCTGTTTTTCTAGTTACTCACCTAAAACTCACTGGAGTTGAACTCGCTCCCTCAAAAAAATTTACATTTGAAGAGCTGCTATAGAAAAGGTATAGTCCTGTATTCTCATACATGTTTTCCAGCTAAGTAACTTCCAGGACAGTAACTTCTAATTTGCTGTCTTCCATGTACGCTAGAACTGTTTCCTGTCTGCATTACCTTTCCAAGTTGCAGACCTCACATCTTGGAGATTATCTTGTTGGGAAAAGATTTTGCATTGAAGAATGGTTGCGGACGGTTTTTAAAGAATGTCTATAATGCTTCCTGTCATACATGCATGGCTCTATAAAACAGGGAGTTAAAGGAATATGACTTATTCCAGTTAGAAAGGAGACAGTTTATAGTATTTATCCATGTTTTTCAAGCTTCTGTAAGCCTAGGTTTTTCTTCTTCAAGGAATACTTCTCAGTGTCAAATTGCAATAGTCAAGCAGTTTCCAATTACACAGTTCTTGGAGGGGCTGAGATGCTTGATTGAGCTTGATTGATACTGTCAGCTGCTTTGCTATATAAGTTGTTTTGTAGCTAGTCTTGTAGTCAGGGAGCTGTGGGGAGTCAAGATTGACTCAAAGGTACCAAAAAAGAAAAGACCTTTCCTATCCTTAGTCTAAATTTAATAGATTGTTATAATCCACAGAAAATGTCAGAATTACTGCCACTGAGCAGTTCATCTAGAGCAGGGGTATCAAACTTGTGGCGTCATGGCAGTGCCGCGTGACGTATTGGGACTTTGTTCCCCTTCGCTAAACCGGGTGGGGGCAGGGCCAGCATGTGACGCATCCAACCTTTGGGCCACAAGTTTGTCACCCCTGATCTAGACCAAAGTTGAAAAAGTCTGGTTTAGTATATTGGAGTATTTTCCCCAATGTGTATGTCCTCTAAATGGGTTAGAAACAGAAAAGAAACAAATTATAATTAATCCAGCTAAGTTGTAAATCTATTAACAGTGTACCCTGTAAAAATATAAAGACAATCCTGTTTTTGGTTTTTTTCCAAGCTGTCTGAAACAGAAGAACCAGGCCTTGTTGAATATCTGTCATATTCACCACTATGACACTACTATTTTTGAAATGTTGAGATAACACAAAATTAGCAATAAACACAAGGAGCCTGATGATAAACTAGTTTGTTTTTTTTAATTTCAGTCTGTGTATTTCAGTTCATAAATTAAAAATGCCTTAATCGTTCCTGCTTTTAAATGGCAAGTTGATTGTGTAAAAGTGCTGTCATGGTTATGGCTGGTGGATTAGAAGTACATAATGAGTATCCTTCATTTTTTTTCTCCTCTGTTCTTCCAGGGAGCAGATGTCAACTGTATGCATGGTACTCTGAAACCATTGCACTGTGCTTGCATGGTGGCTGATGCAGATTGCATTGAGCTGCTGTTGGAAAAAGGAGCTCAGGTAAGAAGAAGCACAAGCCTTTTGAAAAACAAATTCAGGAAACCAATTATGCCAGTGGTTATAATTAGATTTATCAAATACTTTAATGGGATTTATCAAATACTTAATGGGATTTGAGATTGTATAGTATTTTGTAGTGCTATTGCTGGCTTTGAGGTTGAAAAATATTACATATTCTCAAAGGCAAAAACTGGGAAATAAAATGCTCCAATCGGAAATATCCTTCTGAATAACAGTACTTTGCCCTGTTGTACTTAAGGAGGATGTATATTTCAGAATCTCATATTCTCTTTGAGATTTGTATCATTTGTATCCCGGCAATTGTTTTCAAATAGTGCTTTTATATTTCTTTTGTCGCTTAATTCTGTTGCCACAGAATTTTGTGTTTTAGTTTTCTCAACTGTTGTATTACAGTGAATTTTCTTTCATAAATAAAGATAAAGCTTAATTCAACATTGGTCATTAGATATAGAAAATTTCTTCATAGTGAGAGAAAACAGACATACATCAATTTAAATGTGCAAAAAAAACCAAACCCATTGGTTTCAAAATATGTTCTAAAAATCTTATAATGAGACATCTCAGCCTCTTTAAGAGATTGATTATATCATGCAATTCAACCAACCTGTTGTGGAGACAGACAGGGAATGTAAGAACTGCCTATGCTAGATTAAGGCAAGGATTAATCCCTCCTGGCATTAAAAGCTAGTCAGGTGCACCTACAGAGAGCAATAATCAGCTAGGCATAAATAATAGAGAACCCTGAACTATCAGAAAGATCCTATTTCTCAATGTAAAGTCAGGATAGAAAAGTCATTTCTTTGCAGATTTGTGAGGTTTGATCTTCTAGATTAAGTAGTCAAGAAAGAAGATCTGTATTTTGAGAGAAATTGCTATACTGTACAAAGTGCTTTGCCTGACGGAGTGCTGAGTCCTAATGGAAGCTTGAACCGAAGGAAGGATTCTTCTGCCCCATTAATGGAGCTTGTGGATCATTTTTTTTCTATAGCTCTTAATCACACTGAAAGCACCTTGTTTTTTCAGGTCAACGCCCTTGATGGCTACAATCGAACAGCCCTTCATTATGCAGCTGAGAAGGATGAGACCTGTGTGGAGATCCTGTTGGAATATGGGGCAAATCCCAATGCACTGGATGGCAATAAGGACACTCCACTCCACTGGGCTGCCTTTAAAAACAATGCGGAATGTGTCCGAACACTTTTGGAAAGCGGGGCCTTTGTCAATGCTCTGGATTATAACGACGACACCCCTCTGAGCTGGGCAGCAATGAAGGGCAACCTGGAGAGCGTCAGCATCCTCCTGGAGTACGGAGCTGAGGTCCGGATTGTCAACATGAAGGGGCAGACCCCAATTTCAAGGCTGGTTGCCCTGCTGGTCAGAGGACTTGGCACCGAGAGGGAAGATTCCTGCTTTGATCTCCTTCACCGAGCCATTGGACACTTCGAATTGAGGAAAAACGGCACGATGCCGCGCGAGGTGATGCGAGATCAGCAGCTTTGTGAAAAGCTTACCACGCTATGTTCTGTCCCAGGCACATTGAAGACACTCTCACGCTATGCTGTGCGCCACAGCCTGGGTATGCAGTTCCTACCAGACGCAGTGAAGGAACTGCCTCTGCCAGAATCTTTGAAAGAATACGTCTTGCTTAAATGATGGCTTCCTTCCCCCCCCCCCCCCCCCCATAGGATTGTATTAACCAGCAAATTGGTGAGCCATGGTGGACATGGCATTTTAGAGATGTAGCTCCAGGAGTCAGCTGGTGTGACATCTGCGCTTTTGTCCAGTGTGTTCCCTTAGCTTCTCCATTTGCTATAGTATCCTTCTGACCTTTCTTTAGTGAAGGAGGCTAGGAAAGGACTTCTGGCTTCTTATGGCCAGGAGGCCCAAGTGAAACACGTCTGTGTTCCACCTCCTGAAGAAGACCACTTCCAAAATTCAGGATGACTTCTGTTCTCAGTGAAACATTCACAGAGCCAGTTGTCTCCTAGCACCGCAAAACAAACAGGAGGCTGAAGAACGGCAACAATTTGCTTCCTTTAAACTCATTACATGCATCAAAGCATTTGAGTAATCCAGTCGTCGTCTTAGTTTTAGACTCTCCTAAGACATATGTATTTCATATATTTTTTGTTTATTGATAAATGATTTCCTTTCAGGAATGTAATGGCTTAATGAATCTGAATAAATAAATATGGTGAGCTGATCAGGTCCTGTAGAGATTAAGGGCTGTTCTCTTTTACATTAGCTTCTTTGAGATTCTCACATCCAGTTGCAGAGATGCTCAGAAAGGCAAGAGCTCTTTTTAAAAACCAAGAACAGAGCATCCTAGCGCTTTGGGAACCAAAGCCAAAAAGGTTCTTCAGAGTGGGTGTGGATATGCATTTGGCCTTTCTACTTCTTAAAACAGCCATATGATTCCAAAGAGTACCGATTAAGGAGATGCCAGTCAGGTGTTTTGGACTGTATTTAAGTGCACAATTGATGCGTCTTTAACTCAGATGCATAATTTTTCAGGTTTGCTTGGCAAGGGTGAGCCCAGGAAAAGACACTGGTTTGTTAAGGAGGCACTAGCAAGAGTCATGTGCATGCCAATATGCGTGTGCCCACCCCTGCTCCAGGGCGTCATCTTAGGATCTTGAGTGCTGCACTTTGTCCACTTTCGTTGGCTCATCTTTTGTTGTTGCTTTTTAGACCATCTCTGTTTATATCACAGGAAAAAGTGATAGAAATCTGAGGAGGAGATGATGAAGTGTGTTGCTTCGGCCTGGGTGAGGAATTTATGACAAGATAAAGGAGGTGGGTTGGGTGAGGAAAGAACAAACATCCTACAATGAAAAAAGATATTGCTTTTAACTCAGCCTTTTGTTTACAGTACTGGTTTGTATGTGTAGAAATCTGTAGTCAGACTAATTCCCCATACTCTCACCTCATTACGACCATCTGTAGAAACTGTTGCCCTACCTGAATAAATTGAAAAAAGTAATTCAGTGGTGCTTGTTCTGGAGGCATACTAATGATCATGGCAGTTTTGTGTCTTGCATAGTGATGAGGAAATCTTTTCTGCCCACGGTGTATGTACATATTTTATTCACCGCTTTAAAGCTTTCCAGAATGTTCTTTCACTTCCTGTACTTTGCAGCTCCAGACAAATGTTACTAGGCTTATATTGAGCCTAGCAACAATGGCACTATCTACTATAGTCAGCTTCTGGTTTGCCAGCACATTCTTTATTATTGTACAGTTCTAGTGTGCCCTTGTGAAGAAATGGCAAAGAAAAAGTATTCATTTTTGAAAAAGCTAAGGCATCTTTCAAACGTTTCAGTGGGTTTCTCCATTGGACACAAGTTAAAATACATTTTTCTTGCCATACAATTATGATTGTAATCCGCTTGTTTTGTGGCAGGCTCCTTTTGCTTCCGTTGCCTTCCTCTGTTTTAATGAAAATGAAAAATGGGAGGAGTGGGGTTTGACAAGTCTAATTTATTAAGGGCTATATCTGCCATTTCTTAAAATGTAAAATTGTAGACATGTAAAATTGCAGGTATGTTTCTTTCACAAATAATTATCTTGGTTCGGACAAATGAAGCAGCATCTTATGAATGTAGGGGAGCTGAGAATACAAGTCTTAGAGGTCCAATTACCCGTTAGACACGTGCCAAGAGCATCACTGAGCAAGTCCAATGGCCTGGGTGTGTGGGCATTGTAATTACAACCACTATTTTATCTGCTATTCAGTTTCAGAAATGGAATTGTAATTTCCGACAATATGCCCTTTTAAATTATTTTTTGGCTATTCTCCTAAGATTGGAGTATTGGCTCTCACATTGATTCCTGGAGTATTTCTTGTCTGCTCAGGATAATATCCTCACTTCTATTTTGAAGAAGGGGAGATGGGAATTAGAACCCTAAACAGCCATCTTGAAAATTAGACAACGTAGAAATGATTATATTAATTGTTGAAATACATTCTATGATACTTGATGTGAACAGAGCCATCATTCTCTTCAGATGTGTTTCCTTTCTTATTTCTTAGGCAAATTAATAATACTAGCATGCCACAGCCTTATAGAAATAAGGATGTGAAAAAATATTCTCTACATAGAACATTTGGATAGTCAGCCATCACAGTGGAAATATGCGTTTTTGGAGATTAGGACCATATACCATATACAAAATAGGACTTGTTTTATTCAATACAAGAGTTGGGACAAAACCACTTGTAGAAGGAGAGGAGAAATGAAGCAAACTATCTTGCCTTCTTTGCCTCAGGAAATCACTCTAGGATTCAAATTTTGGTTTAACCAAAACCCAGAAGCACCACTTTTCAGATTTTCTGCTGAACTGCAGCTGGACTAAGATGATTTGGGGAACATTTCAAAACAATTTTGTTCTTTGTTTTACACCTCTACCCCAAATTCCAAAGGAATAATTCAGCATGAGAATGGTTCAATTTTCCCCTGGATCTGCTTACAAGAAAAAACATGTTGTAAGCTCAAAGTACTGTTTTTGAAGTGCTTGATTGTGGAGGAATGCTTGTTCAGTGCGCAGATGACTTGGATATTAAAAGCTTGTTCATTAAATTTATATTGCACTGGGGAGTTTTTATTCTGTTGTTTATGTCTTCATAAGAATGCATTATATGGTTATTTTTCTTCTTGACTATCTGCAGCAGAAAGTTGACTGATTTCTTCTGCTTAAGTCCGCATTTTTATATTCATAATATAGGCCAGCTCATATTCAACCAGATGTGTGGGTACACTGATTTCTCAATAGTGATAATTCTGATTATGAAATTTCAAGAATTGATATATAAACTTGGGGATAGATGAACAAGGTGAACTAGTTCAATAATGATAATTAGATGGATTTCACCAAAACAAAAACATAATATGAATGGACCACATTGTGAGTATGGTAGCTTTAGTGAAAGGGGCTAAATACATCCAAATAATAGGGAGATTCTTAACAAAATAAAAGTACCAATCAACAGCTGGATTGTGTTCCTAAAGTTATTGTTAAAGTATTTCATAGGCCTCCATTCAATATTAGCAGAAGTATGTTATGGTAGATAATTCTGCTGGAGAAACCCACAAAGACTTTTACTTTAGTCATAAGGGCAAATGTTAAATTCCCTTTTTGTAGCTGTTCTTTTCCATTCATCTTGATTACACACTAAAGTCTATATATTGGTGGCTCTCCTTTATTTTCATCCATTGTTCAGATGTTGGCTTTTTTTTTCTTTTTTCTTTTTCTTTTTGTCCCTTGAGCCTGCTTTCAGGGTTACTCAGCGTAGGTTCCTGCTCTGCTGTAGGTTTTCCAGAGTATTCAAGAAAGTTCCACAGTGGTAGTTCCATAAACACCAATGGAAGAAAGTTGTGAACATTGAACTTAGTCATGCTAAAATGGTCTGTCCCTTCCTAAATTTAACAGTAGATGTTAGGGTGTCAGGAAACATCACACATCAGTCGGTTTGTGCAACTGTGAATAGCCCAGGAAAATTAATGGATTATATGAGAGATGAATATCCATCCACTGCAACCTAACTCCCCAAGGAAGCTATTCTCTTTTGGTAAAAAGTTTAAGCTTGGTGTTCCTCCTGCTCATTCTTCCACTTTAAAAATCATGATTGCTGAAAGGGCTTTTCCACGTATTTTGGGAACTTTTTAACTCCGCCTTTATTTTTAAATGCACTTATTTTTTGATCATGATGGCAACGGTTCTGTTCACACGTTAATCTTATCGTAGTTTTGTGAGGTTGGAAAACCACGAATATTCTCTAAACGAGCCAATTTACTTACTAGTCCATACTCCTACTCGCATGTATAAAAAACAACCAAATGTGTCATTCTGCCAGTATTCTGAAAGCCGTTTCTAAACCCAGTCACCACTTCACCAGAGCTGCCCTATATAGGTTTCACCAATTTAATGTCTACGTAAGCATTCACCCAAAGAGCAAAACTCCTATCCTTGCAGATACGCAAAGTGGGTGGTGCTTCTTTGTGGCTTTGCTTTTCTCTCATACGTAAAAAAAAATGCAGAGGATGATTATATACAGCAGGTGCAGTGTTCCCTTTAAGCCAATCTGAATGGTGCTTACTCTGGATAAAGAAAGAAAATGTGATTGGGAAAGACACAACAATAAGATTCAGTATTCAGCAATAACTAGGCAGGCCACTTGCAGTACAGAGATTGGTGACACAATTAAAATGAAATAGGGAGCAGAGATATTACAACTTCTAGTCAAATAGTTCCTGGTTTGTTTTTATTTTGAGCACTTGGATGAGTTGAATCTATTTTGGGACGTTCAGATGACAAAAAGTTTTAATAATAATACTGTCTGGTTTGAAGGATGACGGGATGAAGAAAATTCTATTGGAAGTACATTCCTGGAGCAGCAAATTGCCTTGGCTACTCTTTCCGAGATTGGCTAGGAAAATCTGGCAGCAATAGTCCATTCCACTCTGGAGAAGGATGGCCTGGAAGCATATGATTATATAATACTGATAAACCTAAGAGCGACCCTAGCTATTATCCAAATGGAAAGACCAGTAGGGAACCTACGGTATTTAAGCTGCCTTGAACTTTCCAAGAAAGCAAACAACAGTAGAAAGTTTTGCCAAGTATCAGCTATGGTGTGATGTAATGATATGCCATTTGTAATAGGCACGTGGCTCCGATTACAGTACATAACACTAGATGGAAAGCTGCATGCTAACCAGGGGAAGGAACCTAGGATTTGTAATTTATTTAAACATCTCCTTACATGCCATGACTGAAAGGGGAGGGACAGCTGCCCCTGCTTTGCTAACTGTTCACAGGGCACCTTCCCCAGATACTCTCTTGCGAGTGATGTGCTCCAAGTGGGCTCTCTCTGAGGTGTCCAGCTCGATCTTGTACTTGGCTAGAATCTTCAAGATGGGACGAAGCTTTAGCCACCACTGCATTTTGGGGATGCGATGTCTGTCGAAGAAGGATAAAGGTAAGGTCAGTATCTTCACGGCAGCGGTCATCCATCCCACTGCAACATATTTGATGGCTGCAGCTACACTGTCTTTGAGAGATATTTACCCGAGCTTGGGAAACTTGTAGGAAGCTATGATAATGGATTCCCAACTAATAATTCCGGATTAACTTAACTTTCCATGGTACACTTTCTGATTTTTCCTACAGAGAAGACTTACTCAAAATCTGTTTCTTCTTTGAGTTCTGCAATGGGCTGAAATACCAGGGCACGTCTGCGCATACCCAGCAGGCAAGCTGAATCAGCAGTGTTGGCAAAGATACGACCTGCAAAAGGAGCATATAAAATGTTAACGTTTTTAATGGAAGCTTAGGTTTTTATTCTTCTATTGAAAGCTGCACTGGAAAGCATTTATTTTGAAACATGGGGTGTAAAGCAGAGGTCTCCAACCTTGGCAACTTTAAGACTTGTGGACTTCAACTCCCAGAATTCTCCAGCCAGCTCTGGCTGGAGAATTCTGG